ACCCTGGAGGCCCACCTGTCTGTCACCCTGGAGGCCCACCTGTCTGTCACCCTGCAGGCCCACCTGTCTGTCACTCTGGAGGCCCAACTGTCTGTCACTCTGGAGGCCCACCTGTCTGTCACCCTGGAGGCCCACCTGTCTGACACCCTGGAGGCCCACCTGTCTGACACCCTGGAGGCTCACCTGTCTGTCACCCTGGAGGCCCACCTGTCTGTCACTCTGGAGGCCCACCTGTCTGACACCCTGGAGGCTCACCTGTCTGTCACCCTGGAGGCCCACCTGTCTGTCACCCTGGAGGCCCACCTGTCTGTCACTCTGGAGGCCCACCTGTCTGTCCCTCTGTGCCAGCACTTAGGCTGCCTGGAACAGCCTGGTTTCTTGCTGATGTTCTTTGGGGACTTTCAACTTCTACAGGGTCAGAGATGACAGCTGTGCCACCTATGTGTGGCACAGTGTCTGATGTATGGAATTGCACCGACGGGATCAAGGAATGACCTAGTGTGTTTGTGAACTCCACATCACACACACACAGACACAGACACACATCACAGTACACTCACACATCACACACCACCCACACACACACAACACACCACAATACACTCACACATCACACAGCACTCAGTCACACACATCATACACACATCACATACATACTTGCACACAGTCACATACTCACACAGATATCACACACTCACATACACACATGTACACACACACATACCACACACACATACACACATGCAGACACTCACGCACACATCACACACACATACATGCATGAACACACTCACATAGTCACTCACAAATATGCACACTCACACACATGCCACACACACATATACACATACACATATGGGCACACTCATACGCATACCACACACTCATGCACACACCACACACATATGTACACACTCACACACATCAAATGCACATACACATATCAAACACTCACATACATACATGCACACACTCACACACATACCACACACACACACACATACACACATGCACACACCACACACACACATACACACATGCACACACCACACACACACATACACACATGCACACACCACACACATGTATACACACTCACACACATCACATGCACACCACACACCACACACCACACACCCACATACAGACACACACACCACACACACACATACAGACACACACTCCAAACACACACATACAGACACACACACCAAACACACACAATTGTCTGAACCCCCAGAACAAATGATGCACACCTGAAATCCTAGCATTTGGAAGGTGAGGCAGGAGGCCTCGGAACTCACACCCAGCCTTAGCTACACAGCACGTGATGATCCAGCCTCGGTAGTGGGAGGTCCTGACTCAAAAAAATTTTTCGATTTTGTTTTTTTCCTTGTAAGTTGACAGCCATTAAAGTGTGCATGTGTGAGCACACATGTGTTTAAGTTTCCAGGTAATATGCCATTGCTTTAGAGTTGCTGGAAAGATTTAATGCCCATGTGTCACTTATCAGGGTGCAGCAGGGCTTTCTTCCAATTGCAACAGAACATACCAGGGACAGTTGAGGAAGGTACATTCACCCAGCTCGACCTGGAGGTCATCTGAAAGAAAGGGAAGGTACACCATCCATCACACTGGGTCTCAGCCACCCTGGGCCTGGAGAGTAACTAAATGAATTGGGGTTGGCTTTCCTGTAGGGGATAAGCATGTGCATATGGCCATGGGAAACTGATAAGGTGCCCTGGGGTGAGGGCTTCCTCTCAAGCAGGCTCTTGACAGATTCATAGGGTAAGAAACAGCAGCAGCACCCTCTGGAAGAAGGGTGGGGTGTGGGCACATGGGACTGAAGAGCAGGGTGTGAAGGCCTGGGCTGTGGTTTGAGGCTGCACTTCACTGGCCTGAGGTCCACTCCCCATGGCCCTCTGGTCCTCTGCAATGACTATGGCTCTGTGGAGCACTCCGAGGCCCCCTCCCTCTGTGCCTTTCAAGCTCCTTTGAGTCCCCCAGCCTTTCTACAGCCCTCTGACTCATTCTGTGGTTCCCCCCTGTCTATACCTCTTTTCTTCAGTGCGATTTTCATCTCCTCCTTCTTCTGAGACATTTCCTGCTGTTCTGACTTTTTCTCCACCTCTCGCCTTTTAGCTTGGTGCTCTTTCCAGCCAGCAAGGCTGGTCCCACCAAACAGAACCAGTAGTATGGGGAGCAGGCAAGCCAGAGCTACTTTCCAAGGGAAAGTCCTGGGGAAGAAGGGCTCTGACAGGGTGCAGACAGAGACAGCCAGAAACCTGACAGAGGCAGCTCCTCTCAGCCCCCACCCCTCTCGTTCCCCTGCCTGGGAGTTTGGTCCTCACTGACCTGGGAGAAAGATGGCCTTCACTTCCTCCTGGTCATGGAGGGGATTTTGGATGGAGCAGGTCACATTGCCCACAGCTCTATCCGTGACCAAAAGAGACGTTTCCACGTGGAAGAGCCCGGCTCCGTCTTGGGTCTGTGACTCAGAAGAGGACAGAAGAGTGTCCCCAACATTGTTTCTCCATTGCACCCTGGGTTTTAGGAACCAGCCACTTGAGGAAAA